AATTGATTATATTGTATTGTATTGTATTGTATGTAAGGTTTTGTATTGTTTGAGATTGTATTGTATTGTATTGCATTGTATGGTCTTGTATTGTATTGTGTTGTATTGTATTGGTATTGTATGTAAGGTATTGTATTGTATGGGATTGTATGTATTGTATTGTATTATATGGTTTTGTATTGTATTGTAAAGTTTTGTATTGTATCTACAAATTTGAGCATATATAACATCTTTTCTATAACTTTGAATATATATACTGCACGCACACACACACACACATATATATATATATAGATATATAGATAGATATACTTATATATTATACAAAACATTACTATGTATACTAATTGATATCAGATATAAGGCTTGATTATATTTATGCACGTACTCCAATGTATAAATGAATGTATATATTCGTTGTAGTAGTTTAGGTGTATCGCTCTGGTGATTTACAATTAATCTCCCAATACGTTTCAAAAAAAAATTTTTTTCTTCATTTGTTAAAGGCGATCAATACGTTATCTATCAAGATAGGTGATTACTTGGGCACGATAGAATAAATAAAAGAAAGAATGAATGAATGAATGAATGAATGAGTGAATTTATGAATGATTTATCGAGTGAGTGAGTGAGTGAGTGAGTGAGTGAGTGAGTGAGTGAGTGAGTGAGTGAGTGAGTGAGTGAGTGAGTGAGTGAGTGAGTGAGTGAGTGAGTGAGTGAGTGAGTGATAGAGAGGTAAGATAAATGTATGACACAAACATACACAATACACATGTATGTATAATCACACACACACATATATATATATATGTATATATAACAAATTAACAAACTCACGTGCCTTAATCGATCAGTCATATTTAAATAAATAAATTATTATATATACAATATTTAAAATTACGACAAGAATTTGGATAGAAATATTGAGAAATGTAATAAAAGAACTATCCAACTCTAGAAACTCGGTAGATTTCATAAATTATATGTTTATACAATATGTGTATGGATACTATATATATATACATATATATGTAAACATACCTATATACATATATATATATATATATATATATGTATGTATATATTGTACTGATTGTTTAAGATGATTTTAAGCTTAGATATATATGCGTTGGTGTTTTTGATAACTAGAAATCTTTTTTACTTATGTCATTAATGATGTAGTATATTTATTAATTGCCTAACTAATTAATTAATTATAATATTTAAATTGAATGGTTATTGCGCATATAATTGGTTAGTTAGTTGATTGTTATTGGTCATTTTGTGTTTTTGTTTTTTTTTTTTGCCATTCTCTTG